TCTTCCAGCCCTGGCATGCTGGTGCACACCTGTAATCCCAGCGCTGGGGAGGCTAAAAATAGGATTACTACAAGTCTGAGCTGCATAGTGAAACCCTGTACCAAATACATTAAAAAAAAAAAAAAAAATTAAAACCACCATTGTACAGAGAATTGACAAATAATACAGACTGATTATACTTATAAATCATGTAAGGCACTAACATCCACAATACATAAAGCAATCCTAAAACCCAAAATGTAACAACAAAGAAGCAAGCCAATTAAAAACTGGTTGAAAGACTTAAGCAGATGTTTCTCCAAGAAGACATGGTAGTGGTCAGTAACCACAGGAAATGACAATGTCACACAGGAGATGAAGGCAGGGGATCGCAAGTTCAAGGCCACCCTGGGCAACTGAGCAAGACAATTGTCTCAACATAAAATTGGGCTGGTGAATCACATAGCCAGAACTGCGTATTAAACACAAGGCCCTGGATTTACCCTCAGTACTGCAGAACAAACCAACAAAACACAGAATGACCGTGACTCAGGAGTTCCAAATCTAGCCTTGGCAACTTAGCAAGACTGCCTCAAAATAAAAACTAAATAGGGCCAAAGAACATAGCTCAGTGTGAAGACCATGGGCTTAAATGCCAATACTACAAAACAACAAAAATATCCTCAAATACTCGTATGCCAGTACTCAATGGAGCATTATTTAAAGCAGGCAAAAGGTGGACACAACTCGTGTTCGTCAACAAATAAGTGGGACTCAAGATACTGTGAGTATATGCACAATGCAGTATAATTCAACTATTTCAACAATTCTACTATATGCTACAGCATGAATGATCTTGCCAACACGCTAAATGAAATAAGCCAGATATAAAAGGACAAACACTGCACGAGCCTGTTTATTTGAAATATCAGGAATAGGCAACTTCATAGAGACAGAAAATAGGTTAGAGGTTATCGGGGCTGGCGAGAATGGGAAATTATTGCTTAATGGCTCTAAGTTTCTGTTTGGGGTGAAACAAATTTTTGGAAATGGTGATCATTGTGCAATGCTGTGAATATAATTTCATGGAACTAAGTTGTATAGTTAAAGTGGGTATAATGGCAAATTTTATGTTATACCACAATTTTTAAAACTGTGTTAATAAAATGGAAAAAAGTCACTGAAAACTACTATTCACTGCTTTTATTTTGTATTCAAGGACACAATCAACCAGGAGAGAAAGGTTCTCTTGCTCTGTCAAATAAATATATTTAAAAGCTAGCAAACATCAGAGCAGAATTTTATCAACCCTATAAAAGATGGGAAAATGTTATTAGTATTGTAGTTATTTACAGCTATACAGTTAACATATTGCAAGGGAAACACAATATAAATATACTCGAACAATATAAATATATTCCAATACTTGACATTTCAAATTTTGAAAACACTGAAATTACTGTCAAACAAAACTCAGACCACATTAGCAATGGTTTAAAAAAGGGAGCAATTTAATTGTTATAATACAGAGTGCCTTAAGAAGTTCTTAAACATGTAAAAGAAGAGTTTAGTGCATTCAATTGTTACAGTCTTTACATTGCTTCTTTTTTAAAAAAGTTAACAGTAGTATGAAAAAAGCCACCCACAAAGCCAACTGTCTGAGTAAAGAATCAGCTAAATTGCAGCATTTGAGAATTACTAATAAAGCTATAGTTAAAAAATAAAGTTTATAAAAATGAAAGCAGCATGCATATTCAAGGCTTTTTCATAATATTTTCATTAGCTGACAAACATTTAACCAAGAGCTTAATATTTATTATTCATTAAATTAGAGAAAATAAACTGGCCAAACCCACTACATGTGATCAGAAAAACATTTTAATTTCCAACGCTCATTAAACTGAACATTTCTTCTATGAAGAAAGTACACTTAGCAAAATGGTCCTATGGTCACATAGAAAGGGTCCTTCTCAACATGAATGAACAGCACCGATCTTTACAAAGTTTTAAATTAGTATGAACTCTCAGTCTCCCACTGTAGAAAGAGTTAACAGTTAAACACACCCATGATTCATAAGTGAAAAACTAACTTTTAACTCACTGCAATCAGTTCAGAATTTTTTTTCTCTATTCACTGAAATTGTTACACAAGGTAGAATTTCACCAAAAGATAGTTCTTGAAAATTCTGATCTCATACTTCTACAAACATTTCTGATTTCCACATGATTGTAAGAAAACACTATGATATTTAACCATGATTTTTTTTCACATTTTTTGGTACAGTATTTATTTTAGTTTTATTCTATTCAACTTCTTATAGTAGTTCCTTTTCCTTCTTCGGTATTATCTTCAGTTTAATAATAAGCAAAACAACTTCTAATGAAAAAGTAACAGAAGTATTACAAATGGAAACAGTGGTATCGTGAGTGTTCCATGAAAGATCCAATCATTAAGGGCCACTTACTGCCCCAACATGGGTGAATAGGCTATTTTTATGCTTGAAATTGTTTAGGCTCATGTACAACTTTAAATCTTGCTACAAGGCCTGATAAATAAGACACAGAAAGAAACCAAGGATTGGAGATTTTTTTCCCCACTTCTAACTTTTTTGTCTTTTTGAGACAGGGTCTCACAATGCAATTCCGGTTGGCCTTGATTTCACTTTGTAGCCCAGGCTGGTCTCGAACTTCAACGATCCTCCTGCCTCCGCCTCCCGAGTGCTGGGATTACAGGCGTGTACTACCACACCCAGCCATCTAACTTTTTAAAATGTTTGGTCACTCAAAGCTGTAAGTTTAATCACATATCAAAGAATACAGGCAATAGCCCATCTTACCAGACACATACTGGTAACCTGGACTAAATATGAGGACAAGCTCTAGTGGTCATTAAACCCCTTCAGAAAGTCCAAAGTTCAGAATGTCTCCATTATAACAGAATAAAAATGTACTGTATTAAAATTTGAATTTTTACAAGTTGTTTTTTAATTACTGTTCTATTTACATTGCAGAACTTCCATCAGCTGCAGTAGTTTAACTTTGGCACAACATTGAGTTCCATTTCTTTTGGATACTGGATCCTGTTTTTTGAGAGTTTGTATTCCCCAAAACATTTTCAGTGTTATCGAAGATTGGGCCCATTCACAGTAAATCAGATATGTTGAATTGATTCTCCTTCAAAATTTTAAGCAGCTATAAAAGAAAAACATAAAATCCCCTGAAAATTTAAAGAAAATCATTTTCTAATTTTTACTACCCTACAACAAAAAGCATCAATTAGCTATGAAAATACATGTCTTCTTTCAATACTGAGTTCATCTCCCACACATCTCATATAATCCACTAGACTTCTGGGCAATTCTTATTATAGATGCTCATTATGGGCCAAATTTGTTTATGCCATTTATCTCCTCTCTCTAATCACTGATAAAAATATTAGTATGAAGTATATACTTCATTGTCAGAATTTGTTATTTACAAATAATAAAATCTAGAGACCATTTTTTTTTCTGTTTTAGGGAAGGGTCTACAGGGTGTTCAGGGTCTTATTACTAGATGGGATTCCTAGTGATCTGCTTATTTACAGCCTCCCAAGAGTAGGGATTACAGGTGTGCACCACCATGCCCAGTCTCAATTGCTGTCTCAGTGTGTCCCAGGGGTGGGGCTAGCAAGGCAGGCCCCGGGGATTGAACTCCTGGCCCCTGTGCCTGCTTGCAGGCTCATTAATCCACTGAGCTATTTGGCTAGCCCTATTTTTTTTTGGTCGAACTGGGGTTTGAACTCAGACCCTTGCGCTTGCCAGGGAAGCACTTATTCCACTGAGCCATCTCCCTGGCCCCTATTTTTTCTTATTTATATACAAAGCTGGCACATGCCAGAGACATGTATGTACTATACTTCCTACAATATTTTTGTGAAGATTTTGAATACTTTTTTTTGTAAATTGAGCCATATTTAAATGAATAAATAACTTTTTTTGAATAACTTTTTATTGGAAACCTAGGGTGAGTCCACTTATAAGTGAAAAATTATTTTATTAAACCAATGATGAAAGACATGAATCCATGTGTTTTATAATTTTAGACTTTTATGTATTTTAAAAACAAAGCATGCATTTATCTATGTGGGAAAATGCAGGTTACAAATATATTTTTTGAAAACTGTACCTTTATGTGAATTCTTAGCATAATTAATACCTAAGTGCTAATATAAAATGTATGAATTACCACACAAATTTAAAGTAAGATCAAAGTAAAGCATACAGAAAAGTTCATATTATTCTCAGAAGATGACAACTCCTCAGAAAAATCGCTAGAGAGCCTAATAATTCAGTGCAGCAACAAATTTGTTGATTTAATCTTGGTTGAGTTTATGTTCTTGTGTTTAGCAATTTTAAAAAAATGCTTGTTAGGGCTGGTGAGATGGCTCAGTGGTCTAAAGCACCTACTTAGAACAAGCTTAGCAAAGCACAGGGACCGCGGTTCAATCCCCCAGCACCACATGCCAGCCAGCCCCGCCCCCTGGTGGACTGAGCTGGCCACACACACACACAAATAAATAAAATTTTAAAAAAAAATGCTCGTTAAAAATATTTTATGCGAGGGTCAGGGAGATGGCTCAGTGGAATAAGTGCTTCCCCAGCAAGCACAAAGGTCTGAGTTCAATCCCTGGTCCCGCAAAAATAAATAAATAAATAAATAAAATTTTATGCATCTGGGTCAGAACCAAGTCTGTCCTGAAGTCTTCTGGCATGAAGACGCGGAGGACTGCATAGCAAGGGAAAGCTATACGAACCTGCTTAGCTTGTGACTTGCAGGGATTACATTATGCTCTATTAATGTGGAATGAAATTTATACTACTTATTAAAACAGGTACATTTTTAGTTCATCTGTTTTCCTGCCTTTAAATAAAAGTTAATGAAAAGGAACCCTGAAAAATACTGCTAGGCAATAATAAGGACAGCGCCTGGTATGCATATTAAAGTCTTTATAGATAATTGTTAAAATAAACTAGGAAGAAGACATGAGGGAAGAAGTACTGTGTAGAATAAGGCTGTATAAAAATAAAGCATGAGTTAGAAATGTAGAAAGCCAAGCAAACAAATATACTCATGCCAAACAAGGATGACAGCCACGTTTCCTTTCCTTCTTTACTGACTGAGAACACAGTGATTTCTGGCAACAGGGTACTATTTGAACTACAGACAGACATTTTATGACAACTATGTTTTTTTCAAAACATTGTATTTTCATCCTAGAATACTCCTAAAACAAAGACATGAAGAGTAAAACATGTTACTGAACTCCCCATTAAGTATTGAAGTCCTAACTCCAAATTAGGTATCTGATTTGTGATGATAAAACTATAATTATAATAAAAGAATTAAGATTTAAGGAATACACAAAAATCTTTCCAATTTAAACCATATTTGTTTGTACTTTTAAGACTATAGTTTTTTTTTTTTTTAACCAAACACAATAAACATTCTTTTAGCTGAACATAATACACTAACATCAGGTTTGTTTTGTGTCAAAGAATGAGTTTTTAAAAATGTATTTGGTGGGCTGGAGAGATGGCTCAGTGGTCTAAAGCACCTACTTAGAACAAGCTTGGCAAGGCATCAGGGACCACGGTTCAATCCCCCAGCACCACATGCCAGCCAGCCGCGCCCCCTGGTGGGCTGAGCTGGCCCACACACACACACACCACTCTCTCTCTCTCTCTCTCTCTCTCTCTCTCTCTCTCATAAATAAATAAAATTAAAAAAAAAGAAATACAATAAAAATGTATTTGGTACAAGGTCTCACTACACAGCTCAGACTTGCAGTGATCCTCCTGTTTTCAGCCTCCCCAGCGCTGGATTACAGGCATGCGCCACCATGGCCAGCTCAGCATGTGTGGGGGTGTGGCCTGCATTGTCCCCACCCCCATTTACCTAAGCAGGTGCTTAGTCCACTGAGCTATCTTACCAGCCCTTGAAATGGTACTTTCGGCAACTGAGTTAATATCATATCTATTATTTGCCTTTTGATTTCTAAAACAATAATCTGCATGGCAGTTTTCAAAAACAGATGCCACCTAAGCAAATATGAATTTATGCTTTAACCCGTTTGTGACAAAGGTTGTTAATTTTTAAAATTTTGGCATGAAATTTATGTTACCTATAAAAATTCAAAAATTCACTCCTTTTAGGCCTACTGTGCCAAAAATAAATAGAAAAATACATTATAAAAACAAGTTTTGGGGACAACATGAAGGTGAAAAAAAAGTATCTATTTTCACCTACTTTCTTAAAAGTGAGAGGAGGCCTGCCCCTTAGCTCAGTTCAGTGGCTGTTTCAATCAAGCAGTCAGGCTCAGGTTGCTGTGGTTCATCCCAACAACTCAAGCCAGCCAAACCTGCCCTTAAGGCATTTGAAGAAAAAAAAAAAAACACCTCATAGGGCCGGGGAGATGGCTCAGTGGAACAAGCACTTGCCTGGCAAGTGCAAGGGCCTGAGTTCAATCCCCAGTTCCGCAAAAAAAAAAAAAAAAAAGTGAGAAAACCACACCCCTTCTGTCTCTCTTTGGTATATTTTTTCCCCTTCTTCCTAGTTTTTTCCCTTAAATATGTGAAAAAATGAAGCCTCAGTGAAAAAAACATTGTGAGAAACACATTTTGTCTTTAGTTTGTGTTTGTCTCTATCTTCTTTCTTACAAAGTAGGTAATTATCCCT